GTGAGGTGTGACTGCCTACAAGGGTATTTCCATTGTTCCCCAGTCAGTGAGGTGTGACTGTCTACAAGGGTATTTCCATTGTTCCCCAGTCAGTGAGGTGTGACTGCCTATATTTCCATTGTTCCCCAGTCAGTGAGGTGTGACTGTCTACAAGGGTATTTCCATTGTTCCCCAGTCAGTGAGGTGTGACTGTCTACAAGGGTATTTCCATTGTTCCCCAGTCAGTGAGGTGTGACTGTCTACAAGGGTATTTCCATTGTTCCCAGTCAGTGTGTGACTTCCATTGTTCCCCAGTCAGTGAGGTGTGACTGTCTACAAGGGTATTTCCATTGTTCCCCAGTCAGTTAGGTCTGACTGTCTACAAGGGTATTTCCATTGTTCCCCAGTCAGTTAGGACTGACTGTCTACAAGGGTATTTCCATTGTTCCCCAGTCAGTTAGGTGCGACTGTTTACCCCCAGGTGAGGTATTTCCATTGTTCCCCAGTCAGTGAGGTGTGACTGCCTACAAGGGTATTTCCATTGTTCCCCAGTCAGTGAGGTGTGACTGTCTACAAGGGTATTTCCATAGTTCCCCAGTCAGTGAGGTGTGACTGCCTACAAGAGTATTTCCATTGTTCCCCAGTCAGTGAGGTGTGACTGTCTACCAGGGTATTTCCATTGTTCCCCAGTCAGTGAGGTGTGACTGTCTACAAGGGTATTTCCATTGTTCCCCAGTCAGTGAGGTGTGACTGTCTACCAGAGTATTTCCATTGTTCCCCAGTCAGTGAGGTGTGACTGTTTACAAGGATATTTCCATTGTTCCCCAGTCAGTGAAATGTGACTGCCTACAAGGGTATTTCCATTGTTCCCCAGTCAGTGAGGTGTGACTGTCTACAAGGGTATTTCCATTGTTCCCCAGTCAGTGAGGTGTGACTGTCTACAAGGGTATTTCCATTGTTCCCCAGTCAGTGAGGTGTGACTGTCTACAAGGGTATTTCCATTGTTCCTCAGTCGGTTAGGTGTGACCGACTACAAGGGTTTTTCCATTGTTCCCCAGTCAGTGAGGTGTGACTGTCTACTAGGGTATTTCCATTGTTCCCCAGTCAGTGAGGTCTGACTGTCTACCAGGGTTTTTCCATTGTTCCCCAGTCAGTGAGGTGTGACTGTCTACCAGGGTATTTCCATTGTTCCCCAGTCAGTGAGTTGTGACTGTTTACCAGGATATTTCCATTGTTCCCCAATCCGTGAGGTGTGACTGCCTACAAGGGTATTTCCATTGTTCCCCAGTCAGTGAGGTGTGACCTTTCCATTGTTCCCCAGTCAGTGAGGTGTGACCATCTACAAGGGTATTTCCATTGTTCCCCAGTCAGTGAGGTGTGACTGTCTTCAGGGTTATTTCCATTGTTCCTCAGTCAAAGAGGTGTGACTGTCTACAAGTGTATTTCAATTGTTCCCCAATCAGTTAGGTGTGACTGTCTTCAGGGGTATTTCCATTGTTCCTCAGTCAGTTAGGTGTGACCGTCTACAAGGGTTTTTCCATTGTTCCCCAGTCAGTGAGGTGTGACTGTCTACAAGGGTATTTCCATTGTTCCCCAGTCAGTGAGGTCTGACTGTCTACAAGGGTATTTCCATTGTTCCCCAGTCAGTGAAGTGTGACTGTCTACAAGGGTATTTCCATTGTTCCCCAGTCAGTGAGGTGTGACTGTCTACAAGGGTATTTCCATTGTTCCCCAGTCAGTTAGGTGTGACTGTCTACAAGGGTATTTCCATTGTTCCCTAGTCAGTTAGGACTGATTGTCTAGAAAGATCCATTTACTGTTTTGGTCGTTCTAAATACTTCATCCTTTAAGATTTTCCTGCATTCATGCAACAATGCATTCAATTTTGGTAGAAAATTGCTATGTGCAATGTAGACAACATATTTCAGTTGAAAAATATCAAATTTCCCTAAACACAAGAATATTGCATGCCAAAAGAGGGCCTGATTATCAGATCAGTTAATAATGGCCCAATAAATTACCTATACAACAAATATTCATGTAAAATCAAGTTAAGTTCAAGCTGTTTAATTTGAAACAAGTTACAATCAAAATATTTGGAATTGAATCGTTCAGTTACAAAAGTAAGAATTTTAAAAAAAAAAGACTTGATGAGGTCTACAGCCTTGTAGGCTTTTATATGAGACAAGGAAAATGTCAAAGTGGTAGAATATGAAGTACGCCTGAAAATTTAAGAAATAAAACCAAACAGCAAGGGCTCACAGAAATATAGTCACACATCCCCTACCCCCTCCCACTTCCTGATGTTTTATCTTTTTGCTTTTAACTAAATCTTGTGCACAACCTTTTTATTGCATGAGTGTTCAAAGGTGACCTTTCTCTTTTAACCTTTAACCGATGACCATTAAAAGCCAGGAATAGAACTTGACAGTGTGATGTTTTGGTGTGAATATGAACTATATCTGTCCATGAGCTCATGAGATATTTTGTCCACAAGATTTGCAAGAATAAAAAAACACATCTCTCACCCACCACCCAGCCCCATTTTAACTGAGTGAGAGGTATAAAGTTATTTCAATAAGGGAAAAGTACCTGGGCTGTCTAAATCAGTGATGGTTTCCTTTTCCATTTCTTCATTGTTACGAGTTTGATCACTAAATTTTTAGTACACCAGAAATCCTCGAGAGTTTAAGAAGGAATGTTTATTCTTTACACCAACATGAATATCCTTATCATAAACCAATGAAACTTTATGCAGTTTCCGTAATTCGGAAATAAGAAGAGCAAATGGTGACAAGGAACTCTTTGACCCCAATTTATTGTTTGAGTGATAATAATGGCAGTCTGGCCAGATCTTAAAAGAACCTGGTTTAGTAGGGATTAACTCTGACAACGGTCTCTCGCATATGTTACCATAACAATGTGTAAGCCACTGAAATGTGGCTGTGATATGGTATACCATCCATCCTCTGAGATTAGCTGGCCTGACACCGATCATCCATTCATGACACTGCATCTTGATAGCATGACCCTTATGTCCATAGCTTCCTCATATGACCTTTATATGTGAAGGTTGTCACTCTCCATAACAGTTCCTTCTTTTGACATTAATGTCCGACACCTATATATCTTTATTACCTAACCAACAGAGCTGTACGTGAATTATCACTTATTCCTGCTTGCCATTTAGTTCTATAGTGTTTCAGCATCTGTGAAGAAATTTAAATAGCCAATTTCACATCCTAACATTAAATCAATATACAATTCCGAAAGAAATAAGTTTAATGCTACCTGCAGAATACATCAGAGAGACAAGTACCCCATCTCCGAGAATAGCAGACACCAAATTCATACAAAAAGGATAAAAATGTAACAATTTAGCATAGGAAGAAAAGGAAGGCAGAAGGACAAAGATGACAGAGATTAGAGCAGGGATACACCAAGAAAACAGTAATTATAGACCCTATACCGACCCAATCAGTTTTTGACATGCAAATATTACATTGTTAACCTTAGGGTCACCTCTGTGATGCCATCTCACCCTCTGACGAGGAGCAATTCTGCCTGGGTGACACGTCTATTGACTCTAGATCAATATCCTGTCCATCCCAATCACAACCTGATCACATGTCCCACCATATCATAATCATGGCAACGCCATGGTAACGCTATTACACCGACAGCCATCTATCATAATACAAACATATAGACAAGATGTAACCAAATTAATGACTGACGGCATCACCACAGCTTTATTCTGATCTCCACACAACACCCTCATGAACTGTCAATTTTTTCCAAAGAAAATTCACATAAAATCCCATCAGAATTTCCTTACTGGTTTTATCTCATTTTAAATAATAAGAGAATCATCCCTTCAATTCTCGATACAAAAGAAGTTGAGATTTTATTTCCATGCAATATTCAAGTGTTCTACAATGCTTCCAAGCATACTTGTTCGTGTAATTTGAATCGATAAGGAACGGCAGAATTTTTCCAATATCACTACGAAAACTGTCAGAATTTGCATCCCCAAATTGAACTAAGTCCCTATCTGAATGCCTCATATTAGATATTATGTCATGTAAGACCCTATTTCGTTCATAATTGACAGCGTGCCATCCTTTATTCAGCTACAGATGAGAACTGAAATTAAATGACTCTTTGCCATGTATGGTGAGCTCAAACCCTTCATTTTCGCAACATCCTAGTGAAAGCTTGAACGACCAAATGAATAAATACAACACAAAAGACACAGTCGCTGCAAATTTTGTAATTTTGAAATTTTCATTTTTTTCTCTCAGGGGTATGAGCGTTTAACACAGATAAATTGACTTTTTAACCAAGAAATGATTGACTTCATTTTTATTCCGGCACAATATTAACCAGTCTTGCAGATTATATAATTGAGTTCAGAGCCTGGTACAAGCTGTCATCATCATTTTATATACATATTAGCAATCATACTTATTTTACTTGGGGATTTAATTTCACAATAAGTTATACAGGGAGTTGTTGGTCAATTAAAACGTCACAAATATTAATCATGATGTCACATTAAAATTCACATATCTGCTTCTGTTAAATCATTCATTTTTGTGGAGGATTTCTTTTCGACGATTGCGTGGATACTCATGATCCACAAATTTATGTCTCCACAAATGTTTAAAAAAGTATAAGTTGACTTATTGAACTATATTTATCCACAAAAATAGTAATTTTTTTTAATAACCTCCAAAATTAAGCCTCACAAATATATATGATTTTAATAGAAAATACTGCTATAGAAAATCTTTTGTAGTAAACCTCCCCAAAAAATAAATGCAAAAAAAAATGAACAATTGAAATAACACCATTTCTCATTTGATAAAGTGCAGGTCTACTTGGAATTACTGACAGCCAATGGTATGGTATAATCAACTTGTACTTTTTGCTGAATTGCAACGGAAATGGGTAGGCATAATACCAGACATGGACTTATTGCAGAATACATAGGATAGTAAATCAGGTAAGGCACTTACTGTCCACTGTTGCCATTCCCCCAGGCATAGATTTCGTTGGAATCTGAAAATGAATTGAAATTCTTATTAAATTTGTTGATTATATTTAAACACTAAATTTTCAGAAATACTATTGTTGTTGGATTAACTGAAGAAACTTATAACATTTGAATTAAATTAAATCCATTAATGATTGCTAATCTCCATTCCTTTTATACCATACATTATCACTACACAATTTCTACAATCATACAGCAGTGGTTATATCTTCTAAAGATTCAAATACCACACAATTTTTAATGTTTTTTTTTAAATAAAATACAGAAAACAAGATATCATTCATCATTCTGTTCGGAGCAATTTGTAGAAGAGTATGGTATCTGTGATCTTATTATCAAACATACAGGAAAATCATTTCCTTTGAAATTGTATTTCAAAATAGATTAATGAAATTGAAGTAATGATGAAGAATATACAGAAAAACAGGTAGGCAATGAAAACTAATCAATTAGGTTTTCATATAAAAAACACATCACCAGTAAGGAAACAGCTGTTAATAAACCTATCTGTATCTCCTACTGGTCGGTACTTTCAAATTATACATCCCTGTCAAGTAATAAGCCCACCCTCTCAATCTGAGGTAATTTGTTGATGCCCCAAGCTTCGATTGTGGGATAAAAACTTCAGTTTTGAAAATGTAAGTTCTGAGTTCTCTGACATCACCATGTTTGACTTGGCATTGACCTTCTCGTCAAAAAGCTGTTATAATATCCACCTGAATAATCACAACAAATAAAACTGAACTTTATTATTTCAATATCTCCCATCACATACTTTTTACATAAATAAATTTAAACACATTCTGCTTGTCTTTATCACTGATATACCTAGTCTCTACGTAGGAGTCCCTGAGAGTGGTTCAGGCCTCAAAAATATTGTTTAATATCCCTGAAAGTCATTGAGGACTCAAAAAGCTTGTTTAGTTTTCTCTAAATGTGGATCAGGCCTATGAAAACCTGTATTGTGTTTTCAGGTTATTCAGGTCTAAGAAAGGCTATTTTATCATTAGTGTCTCGGAGATTGAGTCAGACTTTACAATGTCTTCTGTCTCAAATAATTATTCAAGCCAGGTTAAGAATAGAAAATATTTCTATTCTGTAATTTCCTGACATCCCAGAAACATCACGGTTTCTTGGCTTAGTTGTTTTAACTGACTCTCATCTAGAGTGATAAAGGTCTCAATTATATTCTTTTTTTTTTCTAAATTTCCCATATGATCCTTGTTCATCTGTATATGTCCCAGACTAGAAAATGCTTTCTTCCACTCAATTGGGGAAAGGCTTTTTTACCTAATTTTTATGAAAAAACATATTTTGGGAAAAAAATATTAAGTAGAAAGAAAACTATATATTTTGAGAACATGGTCACATCTTGAAATAAATCGATTTGGGAAATAGAGCTGATATTTTACCCTCCAAAACCCCAGGAAATACCCTGTTAATCAGTATAGAAATACTTTCTGAGGAGTAGCATGAAGCATTTAACTTCTGAGAATCATAAATCTCTGAAGTCCTGCAATAATGTTTATTTCTATAATTATTTTTTTATCATTTTTTTATAATAGTGATTTATTTTTTGTTATTTTGTACATTTCTATCAATGTTGATAAAATTGTCACTAAGAATAAAAGCAGCATTTGGATTATTATAAGATAATCACCACTCTATAGAAATATAAAACAATATCATCATATTTCAATTAATATTAGTATACTGTTGTTCTATCTTCATACATTTTAAAGTCTACATTAGCTGACTGTCAGTTTAGAAGTTGTGTTAACCAAAACTCCCAACAGTTTCAACAAAAACCTTTTAAATTGGCAAAAATCAAAGGACTTTCAACATTAAGCATATCAAAATGACTTACGACCAAATGGCATGAACGCACTTTCAAAGGCAAATGTTTCAAGAGCAATTTAAACAAATGATCTACAATCAACTAAATTTTCTACTTAAAATTATTATAATTCTGAACATATAAATCCTATTTTATTCAAACTGGGGTTTACCGACCACAAGTCACCCTGGAGTGCCACAAGCCACTTTAAGATGTGGGCATGCTAAAGATTAAGGCAATGGGTGGCAAAAGACAAGACGAGTCACTTTGCATGTCATACAGTGAGATCTAAAACCGTTTTGCATGTTACGAGTTGCCTAACTGTGGCCCCAAGTGAGACGTAGAGAATTTATCATCACCGCATGGCTGTGTGTAGTTCTGCTCTGTGGCAGTCCGGCCAGAGATCAGGGCAAATGACAGCACCGCTGTCGCACGATCCCCACACGTCAACGACACTACAACCTCATGGCTCGCACAAAGACGTTATGACAATCATAATCCTGCATCATGATTCCGGTCCTCACGGACTAATATTGTGTAGAAATTGCCAATAAAGATTGATCTCATATGATGAAGGGCCATATTTGTCAAGAAAAACCATTCTGCCCCGCAATTCATTTCATCACTGAAATATTTAGGAGGCGTAATTATCAGGCCCATGTCTGTACCAGGTCGCGTATTACAGGAGAACAAATTTGACACAGGCCTCTGGATCAGGTCTAAGTATCTTCCTACTGTGTAATCATACCAATTACCACCTATAAAAAATGTACAGAGATAAAAGCCCTTGATATCTGCACTTTGTCACCAGCTCATAACAAGTCGCATCCTCACGCTATTATCACAACCCAATCTGCCCAAAATGACATCTCCAATCGTCCAGTGTGCATCTCTACAGCAAGGCAATCATAAAAAAAAACGACACATGGTGATGACTAGCAAACATCCCTATTGAATTTTTTATCTACTCTTTTCGTTCAAGCATTTCCCTAACCACATGATAAAGATTGAAAGCAAATTACATGCAGCTAAACACTGTTCCATGGAGAGAAAAAATATCACAGCAGATTAGATTGTGTGATGGTCTGTATAGAGCAAACGAGGCTCTCTATGGTGAAACAATTCCATGTACACCCTCATAAAATATCACTTATGTGCCATATCTTATTTTTCCTTCAATCTGTGAAATTTTGGTTTCCCAGATTTTTATGTAGCAATAAGCCCAAGCCTTGTAATTAGCCCACCCTCATCAATAACATTGTCATTGTTACTTCAATTTTCTGATATAAGCCCACCTCCAGACTTTGAGTCAGTTTATTATTATAATTATTGCTTTAAGTTCTTTTAACAGCCAAAGTCATTTAAGGATGTGCCAGGTTAAGGTTGTGGAGGAAAGCCTAAACCCCACCAAACTGCAGTCACTACCTCGCGACTGCATCCTGTAGGTCTCAAACGTGTGACCCAGAGGTGGAGGACAAGCGGTAATAAAAATAGTCTTACTACTTGGAATAATATATTAAAAATTTATCCTTAAATCTGAGGCTGTAATTACTGCATATCAAAGGATTATTTGACAAAATTCAAAGCAAAAGTTTTGGATTCAATTTGCACATCACACAATTACACAGCAACATCTGTAAACTTGGTCTTGTCACATGATCCTTTTGTATATATATATTGTATATATATTTGCTGGGCACGGAGAATTCATCACATTTTCAGACACTTATATATATATATATATATATATATAAGTGTCTGTACAGTAAGACTGGTAATGATTGGCACTTTGTAAACAAAACACTTTTAATTACGAGGGTATATAAGTATTCAGTCTGTAACTGTTAGATCTACATGTGTCTATAAACATATGGTTAATTACGAAATCTATTTAGCCGTACCCTTCTAAACTGAGAAATCAAAAGTACTTTCTAAAATTACATGTTCCACGATAGAATCACGCATTGATGTGATAGAACAGGACATCATATGCACAGAGATGTGCAATAGCAAATTTGCAGTTTTCCTATCAGACAGATGTTTTGCATACATTTTGTGCACATCATGCAGACATAATACACACATGTAATATGACCTTGTGTAGCTGTGATTCCACTAATGTATATTACACACATGTAACATGACCTTGTGTAGCTGTAACACCACTAATGTATATTACACACATGTAACATGACCTGTGTACTACTGTATATTACACACATGTAACTGACTTGTGTATGTGTTTACACACATGTAACATGACCTTGTGTAGCTGTAACACCACTACTGTATATTACACACATGTAACATGACCTTGTGTAGCTGTGACACCACTACTGTATATTACACACATGTAACATGACCTTGTGTAGCTGTGATCCCACTACTGTATATTACACACATGTAACATGACCTTGTGTAGCTGTGATCCCACTACTGTGTATTACACACATGTAACATGACCTTGTGTATCTGTGACACCACTACTGTGTATTACACACATGTAACATGACCTTGTGTAGCTGTGACACCACTACTGTGTATTACACACATGTAACATGACCTTGTGTAGCTGTGACACCACTACTGTGTATTACACACATGTAATATGACCTTGTGTATCTGTGACACCACTACTGTATATTACACACATGTAACATGACCTTGTGTAGCTGTGATCCCACTACTGTATATTACACACATGTAACATGACCTTGTGTAGCTGTGACACCACTACTGTATATTACACACATGCAACATGACCTTGTGTATCTGTGACACCACTACTGTATATTACACACATGTAACATGACCTTGTGTAGCTGTGACACCACTACTGTATATTACACACATGTAACATGACCTTGTGTAGCTGTGATCCCACTACTGTATATTACACACATGTAACATGACCTTGTGTAGCTGTGATTCCACTTCTGTATATTACACACATGTAACATGACCTTGTGTATCTGTGACACCACTACTGTATATTACACACATGTAACATGACCTTGTGTAGCTGTGATTCCACTTCTGTATATTACACACATGTAACATGACCTTGTGTAGCTGTGAATCCCACTACTGTATATTACACACTTGTAACATGTGCAAAACATGCAATGTGTAAGATATAACTCAGCCAGATAACCATGTGCTTTGTAC